TGCTCAAGATTGTTATTTGTATAAATCCATTTGGAACGAAACCTGCTTAAGGCATATTCAGAAAAAGGGGTTCAAGTTAACATTTAATTAAAATTTCACCCAAAAAAATGTACTCTTTTGGGACCCTCCAGCTAAATTGTCTCAATTTCCATAAACCATTTTTCAAGATAGTCATCCAGCGTGCTTGAATTATCTAACATACCTGACAAAATGTATGTTGGTTGGAGAGGGCTAATGTAAAATCCTGCTTTGGAATTTCTTTTAATAAAAAAGCAGAAGAAAATGAAAGCAAAATCAGTAAAAACAATAGGAGCAATTAAATGCTGTTTTAAAAATAAAAGATATTCAGTGGTTTGGACCAATCATTTTTTCTCAGCCCAACTCATCTTCCTGGGTTGTTGTTGTAAATATAAAATGAAAAGGGGGGGGGGATATAAATCAAATATATAAAAGATATTTAAAAATATATTCTGCTTGTAATACCAATAGTCACACAATTCAATAGTTATTAAAAATAGAAACCTTCTTGTCACACACTCAAAAAGTAGAAGCTGGTGCAAAGAAATCTTAAAGTTTATTAAAATAAACAGTCATAGATCAAAGACACAGTGAGGAAACAAACATAGCTCGGATGTTCAAAAAAGCCTATTAGTGTGCGAACTAAACATATCAAAAGAAACTATGAGGTCCAAAAACTTCTACTTGTTATAGCTGGGCTACAAAATTTGGCCATAGTACTAAAGATTTCCTGATCCTGATTGTTTAGTAGATAGTAGTGATTTGCCATATGACAGGACTTTGAAGACGGAAGATTAAATCTACCTCTAAGGATAATAGATTGGACAAGTACACAAACTAGTATTTCAATTTCAGATTCTGAACACACTTGTGCTTACCACTGAGGGGAAGATACTACTGAGCACAGAATCCAGATGTGCCAATATGAAGGCTATCCTATGAACAGGGAGCATTAAATGATGCAAATATTTGGGAATGTTAAAAAGAGGTTGTATGAAAATATTGTTGCAGAGATTTGAAACTTTGGTTCTATCTCTTTGTTAATCAAGATCTAAAATTTTCTACTTAAGCTCTCTTCAAGTTTCATTCAAGTCTAACGTAGGTATAGATTCGGGGGTAAGTCACCAGTAATCCAGTCATTCATTATTTCTTTCGCAAGGAAACTGGTATCTGTCTGCCCAAACTAATAGGACTAAAGATTTGTATTCACCACCACCACCATCACCCTGTCAAATTTATTTAAGCAAAACTTCAACTGGCAGATTTGTAACTAAGCCTTGGCTGAAATGCAACAACAAAGTGCATTGCAGAAAACCAGCATTAACAAAGCAGGGGATTCAAAATAGGAATTTCAGAGATTTAGATGGAAAAGATTCCTCCTATGCATCTATAACTGCAGCACTGTGCACCATATAGAAAAGTTACAGCATATTAGCTTTAAAATCATTGCAGATGCATGGCTGTTTGTTTACAGATTGAATATCTAATAACTGTTTAGGTACTGTTTGTGCTTTCAAATAAAGTTTTGAAGATGGAAGCTTCCTGGAAGAAGATGCCTGAAATAAAGAAAAGAATGACTATAAGTAATACGTTAGGAAAGGAGGATTTCTGTAGAGCAAAAATCATGCAATAAAACATTGAATTAAGTATCTCCACCACCACCACGCCCCAGGCTCAGTGTAATAGTTTAATAGTTCTCTAGATTTAAGAAAAGAAAGAGAAGGAGTAGCTTCATTATTCTTTGGATCAGCAACAGACAGTGAGACCTTCCTTTTTTTAGTTTAGATTTATTAGAATTGCATTAGTTTTTTCACCAAAAGGATTATCTGAAAGTGAATGTATAATGTATTTCAGATTAATGTACATATTTACATCATTCATTCTGTCCTCAAATTTTACTCAGCATATATTATGTATTCAGAAAATAAATTTAGATTTCAAAAAAATATTTTGTTTGATACTGTTTACATACAGTCTTCTAATATTTTACTCCCTTGTTAGCTAACATTCTCTGAACAATGAGCAAAGGGCAAATAGATGGAGATAATACATAATATTTTTCCTGAATTCTAGAATTAAATTAGGATAGAATTTTGATAGGTAAAAAATTAGAATTGAAATTACACTTTGGTCATAGATTGATAGATAAGATTTTAGAATAATAGTGTCTATATAATCAGCAATATGTGAAACCTAATGTGGCAGACATTCCTTTTTAGACAAATAATGTTTCTAGGAACTCTTTTCTGTCAGTTGGTGTAATACATAGTATGCCTCTGAAATTTTGATGATATTTGTAAGGAAATAGTTACTGCATTATTATATTTTTAAAAAATATAAGGCAGAACATGTTTTTGAAAGATGGACAAATTAATTAAAAGTTCCTTAGAAAACAAGAGATTGCAGGTTTTTTTAAATGTGGTAATTGCTATATTTATTTATGTATTTATCAAATTTAGAAACTGCTTATATCACTTAGAGATTGATTCTGGGTAGTGTACAATTAAAACATAAAATCATATATAAATACTATATTTGGAGACAATTAAAACATTCACAACACTACACAATACGTTTCTGGGATATATACAATTTCTAAGCCTTCTGTTTAACATGCCAGCATGAGATTGAATAATCTAGTTTAGTGTCTACATTTTATGCAAATATTAAAAAGTTGTACAGAAAGAATAAAAACCTATTGGATTCACAATTCAGATGTCATGGACTAAATGGAAATATGCCATTATCAGTCTTGAATAATAAACTTGAAAAGAGAAATATAATAATTAAAAAACACCTGTAGCCAATTCCCAACCGAGTTGTTTTAGCTACATTTGTTAAGAATATTAATAGGATCAACCCAGTGATATTCTCTATCTTTGTCATCTGTTAAAGGGTCTCGCTCAAGTTTGCTTTGGTTTATTTCAGAATCCTGGGAGTTGAAGTCCACAAGTCTTAAAGTTGCCAAGTTTGGGAACCACTGGTTTATTTGATTTGTGCCGTCAAGTCAGTATTAATTCCTAGTGACTATCTGGACAAATCCCTGAAATTTTAGTCGCAGTATTTTCAGCAGAGGTTTGCCTTACCTTCTTCCTAGATCTAAGAAAAAGTGACTGAATTCAAAATAGCTTCATGCCAAAGGGAGGACTAGAATTTGTGATTTCCCAGTTTGTACCCTGATGTTTTAAGCCACTGTGTCAAATTGGCTCTCTCAGTCAGAGTAACCAATATTATTTTAGTACCATATGAAAACTTGAAGCAGACCCAAATTCATCTAGATAATCTACTTTTCCCACATACATTTGGAGTTGGATGGTAGTATCTTCTCTACTAGTGTTCCTAATAAAGGCAAATTTGCAAATTGTACTAATTATCTTAAATCACACTGTTCATTAAGGACCTCTTTGAGAAAAGCCAATGCGTATAAATGTGCCATGCCTCTTTTATGAAACAACCTTGATTACCGTTACTGAAGATCTGAACCGGATGACAAATTTTAAAAATTTTGCCTGTTCCTCAGCCTCTGCAAATTGTTTCCAATACATATGATCAAGGCACTTCCATAAACTCAGCATAACTGTGATGTCTAATTTGAAGTGGATGCAAGCAGCACACTCTCAGTGTTCTTTGCAAAGTTATTATAGCAGTTTGCTGAGTAGTCAGCTGAGTTTTTTTCTGGATAGCTTTGAGCTGTCTGCCCAACATCTGTGAAAGGTCTATTGGGGTAAAATGCAGTAGTGGTAGAGAAATAAACCCTCTTTGACCCCATCCTTACTATTAGACAGAGATAATTATGTAGTCTTTTGTGCTTGGGTATTTTTCTGCAAGTTTATTTGGGTTCACTCTAGACAGTTGGCACTTCTTTTTATTGTCTGGTGCTACCGGGCAATTTCCCATAGCTACGGAGACAAGTCAGGAGCAATAGTGCCAGTGGCCCTTTTCAATGCTACACTAAAACAAGGCCTCAACAAAATTGCCATCTATGTTGCCTGAAACATCCCTCAGATTATTTGGGGATCCCTATCCTGTGGATTTCAAACTACCTAGGCAAATGATTTAAATCAGTTGGTTGATTAAAACTTTCATCTGTATTAAGACATAGCATTTTCACTGGTTCAGGTGAGTATATTCAACTGAGAATCATAAAACACTGACAGATAAAGCAATATATATCAGTGTTGTGCTATTGTGGTACAGGCCTCATCTGGAGATACTGATGTCTAGAGGACTAATCATAAAATACTGTGTCTTACTCTTCCCAGCATCCTTTGTGGGCTGAATGGATGTTTCCAGAACAAGATAATTATTTTTCAAAGATAACTACATCTCCAGATTTCAAGGAATGTCAGAAAGTGCTGCACTTTTAATTAAGCCTTTCCTAATGTGGTGCTTTTTAGATGTGTTGAACTGTAATTCACATAATCTCTAATTATGCAATGTATCTTTTTGAATACTTTGACAAGAAATCTTTGTTTCTGTCAGAAGCCTGAAAACATTCTTTATAGAGACAATCTTTATAATCATAATTTATTTACTTGATTGAACTAAGTGCAATTTTGTAATAGATACATGTGAATAGATAGATAAAATAAAATGCTGTTATTAATATCTAGACAATTAAATCCCCAAACTTTAATCAAATACTGCTGATTCTTAAAGAGAAAGCAATACTTATGGATAATTGCTTACATTGTTCTCTACAGCCATTATTCCTATGCTTTTTCTTTTAATTAAATGAACATTTTTTAAAAAAATAATAAGATAATATCATATAGAGTCTGGTGCCAAATATTTTTATATTTTCTGTTTTTTGAGGATAACAGTATTTATTTTTTTTAAACATTAATTTTATAGGCAATGGTGGTCAGTTGAAGAAGTACATTGGTTTGGTTTGGTTTGGTTTGGTTTGGTTATTTCAAATAGCAAAATAAAAAATAGTAAAATTTTCAACCTATTTTTCCCTCTCTCTTCTATCATTTCAGGACTATACTTTGACCATGTACTTTCAACAAGCATGGAGGGATAAGAGGCTTTCATATAATGTAATACCTTTAAACCTTACACTGGACAATAGAGTAGCAGATCAGCTTTGGGTTCCTGATACCTACTTCCTGAATGATAAGAAGTCATTTGTACATGGTGTCACCGTGAAGAACAGAATGATTCGTTTACATCCAGATGGGACAGTTCTCTATGGTCTCAGGTGAGCATTAAACATTTTGAACGGCCACATTCTATATATAAACTAACAGGCTAATTCTCTGTTCCTTTTCTTTCTCTAGTTTCCCTTCTTCCTTTTCTTTCTCTAGTTTTTCTCTTTTTTATGTAGGTTGTGTAGAATTTTGCCAGCTTCCCTCAACTTTATGCTCTTCAAAATGGTTGGCACTAAAGCCCCATAATCTGAAGGTCATTATGGCATTTTCTATCCAAATCTTCAGGCGGGCACTAGATTGAGAAAGACAGTAGATCTTGTAACAAAACTAAATGCCTTAATCACAAACAATACAAGTGACTTTAGTGAAGAAACATCTTACAGACATACATAACTCCATATAAAGACCTTTGCTTAACTATTGATGGGAAAAGAACAGTACTTCTCATCTTTTCCCCTCCACTATATTGTTTCCACTTGGTTCCAAAATATTAGTTTCTCTGGGCTAGTATATATGTTTAAAAGGGAATAAAAATGGATTGGACAATGATACCTCTTTTTTATTTTAAATGGTTCTTGTCACACAATAAAAAATTGCAAAACAGCAGCAGCAAATCAAAATTTATATGTAACAGCTGAAAATAGGTATCAGAATTATACTGTGGCAGAATATTGAGAATGGTTTGATGTCTGTGAATTTCAAGAAAAGAGTTCTGCAGCAAAGATGCTTTCTTGTTATAAAGCAGTAATAGGTATATTCATCCTTGGGATGGGAAGATTTTTTTTTTAATAAAGTGTCAAGAAAATATTTTCTTAACTCATTCCTCTGCCTTTTTATTTGTCGTCAAATGTCCCCTGCATATGTACTTTCCAATATGGTATGAAAAATGTACCGGTGAATAATTTGAAATTGAAGATTATACAAAAACCAAGAAAATATTAGCATTTCTTGACCCGTCTTGTCGCTAAATTTTAATACACACAAACACATTTTACAGCCAAGAATTGTGTGGATTATCAGACCTGTGTTGTCACATAACGCTTAAGTGAGTCACAAAATAACCTAACATAAAATCCTTACACAAATCCACTTATATACATTGACTTGTAAAAACAGGAAAGTAAATGTTTATATATAGGAAGAACCGTCAGAAAAGAGAAAACTTATTATTGGGGTTTTTTTTGTGTGTAGTGATTTCTTCATGCAGTGACTTAGCATTTGACATATACAGGAACTTTAATGGGTTTACGAAAGCTGGCCAAAAGGGGGAAAAAATGAAAAAACCCTATTTTCTAATCTACCTAATAAAAAAAAATATTGTATTAACAAGGCAGATTAAAAACTTAGTCTTCTCTAAGCCTTCTCCCATCAGATTGCTGTCCAGATGTGTTACATTTCAGCAGCACATATGCATTTCCTCTAGGAATTATGGAAGTCTGACACATCTGAAGGACAACAGATTGTGGAAGGTTGATTTAACTCTCTAGAAGCAGCGCCATCAAAGAAGTGACTGCTAATTAATACTGACTAATATGGTCTCTCTAAGCTAAATTAGAGAACCAGTTTTGTTGTCGTAGTTCAGGCATCAGACTAGAAATCAGGAGACTGAAAATTTTCGTCCTGCCTTAGGATTAGATGAAACCAACTGGGTGATCTTGGGCCAATCACTTTCTGTCAGTCTTAGGTAGGAAAAGCCTTGCCAATAAAATTGCAGGGACTAGTCATAGGTCTCAATACTGACTCGAAGACACACACAATACAAACTAAGTCTAATATCAAAGCACTTCCTTGTAATATCATTTTTATTTTTAAAAACAATAACATTCAAGATTCCAATATTATTGCAAAGGTAAGTACTGTTGAAAACAACATGATTTTATATCATGTTGAAATTTATACAAGTTTCAAATCAGGTTTTTTCATGTAGTATTTAGATACCTTTTCCCCCCCTAACTTGTTTTTTAACAATCCTTTTCAGAATTCAGCTAGAGCTTTGATATGAAATATAAATGCTATCCAAGACAAGGGGCATTTTCACTTTGCTTTAAGAATAAGCAATTTAAAAATTTGCAATAAAATATTTTTGCAATCATGCTTTGGTGTTGGTCATGTATACAATTAGGAGGAAAAGAGTGGGAATACAATTATATGACAATATACTGTAATTAAATTTAAGCATATATGTGTCTTCTTTACTTTCCATCTAAATGTATGAGTGACTTCCAGTTGCCCTGTATACTGCCCCATATCTGTGCAAATCTCATATAATGTATAAGAATGTCAGGACACCACTTCCTTTTAACCTGCCAGCTGTATGAACAGATGGAAAATATGTTACAGGACCAGAGGGAGATGTCAAAATCCAAACCACAGGGAAAGGAACAACATGCAGACTTTTCTTTTTCTTTTACCAATATATAAAAATATACTGTAGATATTGAAAGATAGCACTGATTACCAGATTACTATTTGTTTTTAAAGCAAAGTGCCTTGGGATGTGCAATGAAAATAGCATGTTCTTTCAGCTTTTCTTCGCTTTGTGGGAATAAATGGTTGAATACAACTTTTTTCCCAGAAACAAAATCTGATTTTTTTTAGAAAGAGTCTGAAATCTGATTCATTTTTGAGATGAATAAATCAAAGGAACCAGCGAGATATTTATATTCTGTTATTAATATATTCAGTTCTCTCTTAGCTCAGTTTTTATTTTTATTTAATAATTGTTATTATGTATTAATTGTTCTTAATCTTTTTATATGCCATTCAGAGTTACTTTATCTTGAGAGGGAAAGCAATTTAAATTTGATGTACAAACAAATAAGTAAGTAATAAAATAAATAAATAAATACATACATACATACATACATACATACATACATACATACATACATACATACATTTCTGGAAGTTTTCTTAATTGATTCAAAACAATTTAAGATACTTCATTTTTTTTACTTCTCTCAGTAACTTAAACTGAGATTAAGTAGCCTGCCTGATACTACTCAAATAGTTAAGATTTGAGTCAACAACCTCCATATATATTAATACTATAAACTGTAAGAATGCAGATGTTATTTTTTTCTTAACGTTTGTAAACAGATGCATGACCTTATTTATGACTAAATTAATGTTTTACTTAAGAAAAACATCAACTTATGGTATATATTTACTAATCGCTTTCTCTTTCCAAATATATATTTTTTAAAAATATAACTATGCTTTCACACATTTGCATTTAGACATCATTTGCATTTAGTTCTTTGGAAGTTACTCTAAAGTTAGTATTCATTTTTATTATGATGATCACTAAACATAGTTATAGAATTTGTAGTAGAATTTACATTCAAATGGAAATACATAAAATTACTCATTAAGTCAGGGAAAAATTAAATTAGCAATGAAATACAAGAAATAGGGTTGAAAGACTAAATACTCAAAACTAAAAAACTAAATTATAAAACTACTTTGCAATATACATAAAAGAAAATGCTCAGCCTTAGAAGAGTAATTATAATAAACCTATTAAAAATAACATAACACTTCAAATATAATTGTCAACTTACATTATTTGTTTCTCATCAGAATTGTCATGTTTCACTATCTGTTTCCTAGTAATACAAGTTCTTGAAACATAATCTGGCAACTGTTCATAGTAATTATAGTCTACCAAAAGTAGGGTTTAATATAATTTCATCATAAAATTTCATCATTAAGTCATTACAGCAGCATGGGGTCAAGAGAGTTATCTGCTCCTGAGCATCAGGGACAGGACTGTCTGGAAAACGAATATATTGGTACTTTTGTTCCAGTGCAGTTAAAGACAGTATGTTAAAATCTTCTAGGATAAAAGCCCTATAATATCTTTCTAGTAGTAAGATTCTATAGATATTTAGCCAGGACCAAAGATTATGTTCCCTTACTGAAAACGGAGAAAATTCCTAGCATTATCTCTCCGTTAATGAAAATCTATTATTTCCTATCTAGCAAATGTTTAGCTTTGGGAAGTAACGAAGAATACAGGTATGTTATAAGGTAGGCCAGTATGTGTAATAATTTATCCATCATGTTCTTCCAAGTTGAGTAAACATGTAGTGGCAGCAATGGGGCAAGATTTTTGGAGAAGAATGCCATGTTAAGCCAGTAAGTCATCATTTCTGCTTCCATTGAACTGAGAACTACTACAATCAGAATCTTGTGCTACAGACGTATTGAAAATTACATTGATCATGTTCCAAAAAAGGAAAAGTATTTTTAACAACACAGCTTTGATATATTGAAAACAACTTGAACAATTAAAAATTAACTTGGGGTTTTCTTCTTGCACCTATCCTAAAATTTTCTTCTCATTTTTCAGTATATATTTCAGAGCAAATGATATGACTAGGGAGATCTCCAAATATCATCAACAGTCTGCTCTATAATTCTAATAACAATGTATGCCAATGCTAAAAGAAATTACTGTATATTGCAATGTGTCATAGAACAAAAAACTTCCATATCATAATTTTCATTGCCATATTTTAAAGGTGTATATCAAGTGAGATTCATCTACAAATGAAGAAAACAAAATTTAGAGTGCAGTCGTGAAACTCAAGTGTTGCTTATTTGTAGCTACTATATTCTATGGATCTGCTTCGTTTTAAGATGGAACTAATTCAATAATGTTTTCCACTGTAAAGGAACATGATTACTTGTAGTAATCACAAGTGTTCCAGTATTTTATAATGGGAATTGTTTGACTAGAGAATAAAATATTGTGCTATTGACAAATGATGCAGAAATAGAGCCAATTGATAGAAAGAATTGATTGAAAGAGCATATAATTACTAATAATAAAAAGATGAGTATTTCGGGTCAACATAAGCAGGAAAAGCAACCTGGCTAGATTGTTTAGTTGTTAAGAAAGGTGGATGAAAACCTGGTTTTTTGGGGTATTGCCAATTTATAATAGGCATGTTTCACAAAACTATTTTTGGACATGGAATATCATGGTTCCTCTTCCCCGACCTTTAAAGACGATTAAAAGCATAAATATGAAGTGCTGATACTC